GATGGTGAGCACTTTCGGGCGAGTCTTTTCCAAGAGTGCTTCTCACAGTTATCTGTCCTATGGCACATGCTTGGCAGGTGGTTATTACTCTGTGCGGCGGCAGGGTCGGGGACTGCTTGTGCATCGGTTAGTAGCTGCAACTTTTCTCGGCCAGCCCGACTCACCAAACTTGCAGGTCAACCACAAGGACAAAAACCGTGGAAACAATCGCCTGGAGAATCTTGAATATGTTACACCTTCTGAGAACCAGCTGCACGCTCTGGGCACGGTGCGGAGAGTGCGCAGATGCAGGCCCATTCTAGCACGCGGCATGGGGTGTGAAGCATGGACCGAGTTCGCAAGCATCGCAGCTGCTTCGGAGCACACCGGCCTATCACGTAGAGTTGTTTCAGCAGCATGCCATCGACTCAGATCCGGGAAGGGCAGCTGGGAGTTCAAGTTTGCACCCCAGGCATTGGATGGGGAGGTGTGGCGGGTAGTGGTGTTGGAGGGAGCTCGCGCGCAAAGACGGCGTTGTCAGTAAACGCAATTCAGGCAGCAAACCTGCAACTTCCGAGCTGGCCCCTAGAGTTAGAGGTGAGTAAACGGTCATGAAAAACAAGAAGCCCTGCCCCGAACCCTAAACCCCAAACCGTACAGTAAACCCCTGATCCATGGTTACGCCAAGTCAGTGCCCTCACCTTCCCTTGAGCCTCTCCCTCACGGCCTTGAGTTTTGGCCGCTGAGGGAGCCTGGAAGCCCCACAACCTTCCATTAATGATGTCTTCTGCAGCAGCCCTCTGAAATGCGGCCCTCGCCAACGAAGTCGGGCTGGTTGTTGGAGCCGCCTTCTTCAACGAAGCTTCGTGGTACAAACCCCCTGACACCCCGTGAACGCCTTGTCCCCCGTGAAAACCAAGCCACCTGAATTGCTGAAGTCTTGCAGAATTCAGACACCAAGGATACCGCCACAAACAACAGACGTAAACAGAAAAATCCGAGCCCAATGCCCAAAAAATCTCGACCCCAACCCGAACGCAAACAACATGCAAGCCAAAAAACCAAAACGAC